GGGAAAGAACTTCTGTGTGAAATCTAAGTATTAAAAATGACAGCTATAGGCCAGGCGCGGTGGCTCAAGCCTGTAATCCCAGCACTTTGGGAGCCCGAGGCAGGTGGATCACGAGGTCAAGAGATCGAGACCATCCTGGTCAACATGGTGAAACCCTGTCTCTACTAAAAATACAAAAAAATTAGCTGGGCATGGTGGCACATGCCTGTAATCCCAGCTACTCAGGAGGCTGAGGCAGGAGAATTGCCTGAACCCAGGAGGCGGAAGTTGCGGTGAGCCGAGATCGCGCCATTGCACTCCAGCCTGGGTAACAAGAGCGAAACTCCGTCTCAAAAAAAAAAAAAAAGACAGCTATAAAACAAGTCTGAAAAGTAAGAAAACCAGCTAACAGAAACATGAAGATTCACTCTACTAGTCCCTCTATTTTTGAGTATGCTTGAAATTGTAATTTAGAAATCAAAAAAATTAAGACATAAGCTAGTTTAGAAAAGCTCTCAGAATTCCATATGCCTTCAATTACAGTAAGATGGGCTAAAACTGGCTGGGTGCAGTAGCTCACGCCTGTAATCCCAGCACTTTGGAAGGCTGAGGCGAGCGGATCACCCAGCTAATTTTTATATTTTTAGTAGAGATGGGGTTTCACCACATTGGCCATGCTGTTCAGGACCTCGAGACCAGCATGGCCAACGTGGTGAAACCCCGTCTCTACTAAAAGTACAAAAATAACCCAAGATGGTGAAATCCCATCTCAACTAAAAATACAAAAATTAGCCGGGTTTGGTGGCACATCCCTGTAATCCCAGCCACTCGGAAGGCCAAGACCAGAGAACTGCTTGAACCCAGGAGGCGGAGGTTGCAGTGAGCCAATATGATGCTACTGCACTCCAGCCTGTGCAACAAGAACAAAAACTCTGTCTCCAAACAAAAAAAGATGGGCTAAAACATAAGCTTAGCATGTCTATGATCTGCACAGAACCTGAATGAATGTAAATGAGAAGGACCAAAAGAAAAACATAAAACAAGGTCTTGGTTATGGAAGCCAGGTAAAGCTAGTCTTGTTCACAGCATAAATTCAAAAGTCAGCAGCTGCTTCGGAATGTACAAACTGTCAGTCATGTGAGTCAAGATGGCCAGGGAGACCTATGTTAATTCAATCTAAATAATTATAAGCTTGTGTAGCTCAGAGAACACTGAAGTTTATACACCAAACTAAACTATATTATTGGTACAGTTAATTAGAAATCAAAGGGCAACAGGAGGCCTAAGGTAAAGACCATCCAGAGCACATTAACACCAGGGAACACCTCCAGGTTGGTGCAGAGCAGGGAATACTGCTCTGGTCCCAGGAATGCCTTCTCAACATGCAGACTGTATGAGGGCCAAGTAAAGAGGGCTTATGCAAACATCTCTGAGAAGGGAGGCGACCTCTGCTCACAAGATCCCAGAGGGCCTTTGCAGATGGGAGCTGGCAAGGAGGAGAAAAGCCTTGCAGGGCAGAGATCAGGGAACATCCCAGGCTCTGCCTAGGTTCTCGGAATAAGGAGTGATTTTAATTGCTCTATGTCCCCAGTGCTCGTGAGATAAAAGCCCCTTGATACATTGGGTGTGGTCAGACCGGATGGCTCCACATCCACTATATTTCTGATGCTTCAGTACCCTGATAAAAATTGGCGATAAACTCAGAGTACCAGTTCAGCATGTCTTGGAAGGATCTCAAGTGCTGTTAAATGCTCAGCGCACAGCGCACTAGTTCAGCATGTCTTGGAAGGATCTCAAGTGCTCTCCGCCTGCCTGGCTATCTTACCTACTCCTTTACCCTCCCCCTCCATGCCCATAAGATCAATGAGATTATGCACATAATAAAAGTGTTTGACGCCCAAAGCTCTGGGCCAATGCAGTTCCCAAGCTTGCCTTGGTCCCCTGGACCTATGCTGTAAACTCTACTCTTGTGTCTCTGTCTTTCTTTCCTTTTCTTAATCCCTCATCACCGCCAGGACTAAGGGCACCCATGTACAGGGTTGAGGGCTGGTACCCAACATAAACATCTGGTACCCAACAAGTCAGGGATAGTTGCACGCTGACCTACTTTCCACAACCTACTGAAGTGACTTTTGAATTTACACTATGAAGAAGGCTGGCTTTATCTGGCTTCAAAAAAACAAAATCCTGTTTTATGTTGCTTTCTGTGGTACTGATTTCTTCTCTTTGATTAATTACTTTTATACTGGTAAAATGAGGAGAGGAACAGTGGACTGGGATACAAATCTCTGCCCGGGGCTCTTTACCCAGCTCCTGTGTGCTTGATGTAATCTCCACCATCATATGCCGTCAACATGAGGCACTCAGTGACTCATCCCTGCAAGCTGCAGGATCCAGTCAGGTTAATTTAGGATCATTTCATGAACAAAGGAGAAGGAGGAGTTGGAGGTCGGGGAAGGAGGGGAGTAATTTCCTTTAAAGACAAATTTATAAGCAGAAAAATACAAATTAAAAACATTAACAAAACTTTCACCAGAAAATACAAAAGCCACTGGGTTATAGGTGGCTTTCCTCTGATTACTAACCTACATTTTAATGCAGAAATGACACATCTAAGGCCAATTATGCCCAAAAGTCTCAAAAATGCACATGTTCTACTTTTGTAGCAGTAACAAATATTATGTAAGGAGAAAGGTAAGCATGGTATTAAAAACTGGTCCACTTAATCATGGGAACAGAATTTTCCCTCTATATAACATGGAGAGAATTTCATTAAAAAATACATTAAAATCTTCAAAAAGAGAAGAAACCCGGATAATAATTCACATCTTACATGTAGCAATAGAAAGTATTTTAAGGCCACATGTCTGTAATACCAGTACTTTGGGAGGCTGAGGTGGGCGAATCATAAAATCAGGAGTTCAAGACCAGCCTGGCCAATGTGGTGAAACCCCATCTCTACTAAAAATACAAAAATTAGCCGAGTGTGGTGGTGAGCACTTGTAATCTCACTACTCAGGAGGCTGAGGCAGGAAAACTGCTTGAACCCAGGAGGCAGAGGTTGCAGAGAGCCAAGATGACACCACTGCACTCCAGCCTGGACCACAAAAGCAGGACTCCGTCTCCAAAAGAAAAAAAAAAAGGAAAAAAAGAGAGAAAGTTTATTTTAGCAAGTACTAGAGCCCAGAAAAAATAAATAAATAAAATTTAAAAACAAAGTATTGTAAAATATTTTTCATGCATATTAATAACATCAGTTATTATCACTGGAACATTTTCCAACAACAGAAATAATTACCACAGAACAGCCACAAACTTAACAATGGAAATAAGGTAATAATCATCATAAGGTATATTTTTATCTTTCAGTAGGTATTCGTTTTTATGGTGTTTAACATGAAAAAAGTCTTGTGTACTATACACAATACTACTATAGGTTATGATTGTCAGAAGCATATGAAATAAATATATGAGAAAGTCTTCAGATGCATTGTAAGTAACCACTAAATTTTGAAGTCAATTTTAAATTATAGATAAACCAGAATATAACGCTAAGATGACATTAATCAGAAAATCATAAAAACATACCTTACAGAATGAAAATACATTTGAGAAAAACCAGAATAAATCTCTAGTAATCAAAGCAACTACATTTAATGTTTCAGAAAAGTTAAGTTTTAAAACATGCCTTAAAATATCAATGGCATAAATATATCTTTAAATGTATGCTTACAAAGTACAAAATAAGTGGCAAATTTGTCAAAAGCAAAGTTTTACTTGTTATTATGATCAATATTAAAACAAATGCAAACTCATAATATGAAAAAGCAAGGACAGCAGATCCCTAACAGTGAGGGGAGTGTCTTTGTCATCCCTATACCAGGGTAAATATCAAGAATCAATCATCTCATACCTATAGGCTCATGAAGAAAACAAAAATCAGTCATTGCACTCTTTCTCCCTCAGCCAAGATAAACTCTCAGAATCATTTTTTTAAATAATACTTCAGGAAGCCAGGTGTGGTGGTTCATGCCTGTAATCCCCGAATTTTGGGAGGTGGAGTTGGGTGGATCACCTGAGCTCAGGAGTTCAAGACCATCCCGGGCAACATGACGAAACTCCATCTTTACAAAAAAATTAAAAAATTAGCAGGGCACGGTGGCTCACACCTGTAATCCCAGCTTCTCAGAATGCTGAGGCATGAGAATCACTTGATTCTGGGAGGGAGAGGCTGCAGTGAGCCAAGATTATTGCCACTACACTCAAGCTTGGGTGACAAGAGTGAGACTCCAACTCAAGAAGAAAAAGAAAAGAGGCCAGGCAAGGTGGCTCACACCTATAATCCCAGCATTCTGGGAGGCTGAGGTGGGTGGATCACTTGAGGTCAGGAGTTGGAGACCAGCCTGGCCAACATAGTGAAAGCAAATCTCTACTAAAAATACAAAAGTTAGCCAGGAGTGGTGGTACACACCTGTAATACCAGCTACTCGGGAGGCTGAGGCAGGAGAATTGCTCCAATACAGGAGGCTGAGGTTGCAGTGAGCCAAAGTCGCGCCACTGCACTCCAGCCTGGGCGACAGAGTGAGACTCCATCTCGGAGAAAAAAAAGAAAAAAGAAAAAAAAAGGATTCCAATAAACTTTTAATTTCAAAGACAAGCTCTATGCTTAAACAATCACTATAAAACTCAATGAATGCAATACAATGGCAAACATAATGGGATATGCTTTTTTCTTCTGAGAAAAGAAAGCATATTCTTTCTTACCAGGGTATACTTTGAAAGTTGACAATGAACATATTCAGGCAATAATAAAAATATTAATAAGACAGAAAAATTCATACCCTTTTCAACGCACACAATATATTCTCTCATTCTCTACTCACTATGATAAGGGAGTAATAGAAGGCATTAAGAGTCTTGAATTTCCTGTCAAGATTCTCGACATTTTTGTAACCAACAACAAAATGAGGAGCAAATGGTTGATTTACAGAATTAGCAAAGACAGCAAACTTAACACTTACTTTTGCAAAGGCTTCAAAAATGTCAAAGGCAGGTGGCAGCTGAGAGGCATCCTGTATTTCTTCTCTCATGAAATGCTGAAATGTCATTACAAGTTGCCTGAGGCCCTCTTTCTTATCTTCAGTCAGTTTGTTAATATCTTTTTTAAAGAGAAAATAAATAGTACAATCTAAAAGTGAACTTTTAAAGGATAATTTTCAAGTGTTCAATGCTGGCTGTTAAACCAGATATTTCCTGCCTTATACCGGATTCTGACAAAGAGCAAATACATACTGTCTTATCTTTTGACAACTAAAAATAATCCTTACGTAAACTCTGTCAAATTTTGTCTGCAATGTAAGATCGAACACCTATCAAAACATAAGTGTGCATGAAAAAGCATTAAATCCAAAATCAGTAAGGCTGTGTGTTACTAGATTTTCTACATCATTCTGTACAAACATATCAACAATTATATGTTCTTAATAAGTCAGTAAATTTAAGCAGACTTTTCCATGAAATAATTTACAACTATGTCATGACTAAACTAATAAATAGTATCACCTCTAAGGCAAAAAGACAGAAAATGAGAACTAAAGAATTCAGATAAAGTTCAAATAGGTTAAATTTTTCACGTGGATAGTACATCATGAAGAGAACAGGGATCATGCACAGCAATTTCACCTTCAAGTTATCTGAGTTGAATAAACAAGATAAAAGAGCACAGTACAGTGGCTCACACCTGTAATCCCATCACTTTAGGAGGCTAAGCCAGGCAAATCACTTGAGGTCAGGAGTTTGAGACCAGCCTGGCCAACATGGTGAAACCTAAAAATACAAAAATTAGCAAGCCGTGGTGGTACGTGCCTACAATCCCAGCTACTCAGGAGGCTGAGGCAGGAGAATCACTTGAACCTGGGAGGTGGAGGTTGCAGTGAGCCAAGCTCGCACCACCGTAATCCAGCCTGGGCAAAAGGAGAGACTCTGTCTCAAAAAAACAAAGACAAAAAACAAGTTATGATGCTGCATCAACCCAAACAGAAGGAGATGGCTTTAAAACAAAAGAAGAAAAAAAGAGAAACTTCTCAAGCCAATACCATGCCCTTTAAATATCATTTTCAATTATACCACGAATGGGGTATTAAGGCTAAAAGTATACAAGTTCATTAACAACATTTGAGAGTATTACACTTAAGGTCATGTGTATGACACTATTACTAAGTAGGGCTAATGTGAAGAGTAAAACCCATGGTAACAAACATTAATTATCTAACAGTAATATAACAAGAAATTATGAATACTTTGCTGTCTTATAAAACTTGAAAAGACACATTAAGCTGAGCTATAGAGTAATTCTGTGGCTTATGTCCATGTGTATTCTTTAAATAACTTACTCAACAGAATAATTAACCCAATGATTTCTTATATAGCAATTTATAATCATGGGAACTTAGGATCCCACAACTTTATATAAATCTATACTAGATCATCTTCTTATTTGTCTGCGTCCAGAAGCATTAAACTGTGCAGCAAATATACTCTATGTGCCCTGGCTAGTTTTGAGTTGAAATCACTTACAACCTCATTGCAAAGGATCTGTGCCCATACAAAGGCAAAATAAAGCCTACCTTGCTTCACACTCAGATATGGCTAGGCTTTTAAGTCATCCCAAAAGGGTGGCTACCAACATGGTAATTTCAGAGAAGAATGATGTCACAGAGACTGAGTTATCTGTACCTTCTACTTTCCTTAATATCTAAAAGATCTGTAACTCTAAAAGCTCTGTGGAATCCCCCTGTGCACTACATCACTCTTCTCTGACATCAAAAAGAAACTGGAACAGGAAATCAAGACAGAGAAGAAGGGAAACAGGGAGGGAAAAAACAAGAAAAATAATTTTGTCAACTGGGCTAATGGTCACAGTACCCCCATCTAACCTGAACATCTCTGTGGTGCTTTAGTAACCCCTATTTTAGGACAAAGCTATCCCAGAAAGCAGTGAAATAAACCAGTGTGACAGTTGTATAGAAAAACAAGTTTTGTTAGGTTTGCAACACATTATAAAGAAACAGAAAAACGAAGTTAAAAATAAACTTGTTTACCGATTCAGCAAATAAATTATAGAAAACTTTTTTAAGATGCTGATAGACAATCACTTACTTGACTCCAGATCATAAAATGAGTAAAGCTTCTCTGATTCTGAAGGTGATCCTTCCATCTGTGAAGAAAAGGGGAAAAACACCAATAACAATTTCAAGTGCTCCAATATATAAACAAATATGTTTGACACCTTTATATATTTAAATGAAAGTCTATTAAAAAGAACATTTCTATATATTCTTTCTATTCATCACTCAAAATAAAAATCTAACTTGTATCTTCACTCAACAGTTTAATCTCCAAATGCAAAACTCTTGTACAAGAAGTTTCCATATTCCTAAAATCCTCTATAAAATTGTATACTGGCCAAAACAGTCAGTAAACAATAGGAAAAGGTGGGGCATGGCAGCTCACACCTATAATCCCAGTACTTTGGCGGGTCCGAGGCAGGCAGATTGCTTGAGCCCAGGAGTTCAAGGCCAGCCTGGGAAACATGGTGAAATCCTATACCTACAAAACATACAAAAATTAGCCAGGCATGGTGGCACAGAGCTGTAGTCCCAGCTACTCGGCAGGCTGAGGAGGAGGGTGAGCTACGATCACGCTACTATACTCCAGCCTTGGTAACAGATCAAGTCCCTGTCTCAATAAAATAAAATTAAAAAAAGGAAGAACAAATCGGGAGCCTGCAATAATTTGAGAAAGATATTCATGCTTAAGACAGGTAAAAAAAATCTGAAAGGCTTCCTCACAGCAGAATTTCACAGAATTTACTGTTTTGCCACTTATGAAAAAGGACCAAAGAAATCACTTCAATGAATTCCATAAAAAAAAGGTAAGTACTCTTCCAATGAATATTAATTATCATCTTCTTTGAAGAGGCAAGTAGAAAATGACATGCTTGCCCTGTGTGTTAGTTCACAAGAGCAAAGTTATAAAGGCAATGTAACAGAGATCACTTCCATCTCATATCGCAAATACAAAACCTTCTCCATCTCTATTCTCACAGGGAGACAGCAGGGTCTTCAAGAGAGACTGTGTATTTCTTCACTGCTACAGATTCTGTGATTGATAGGAAAAGAACACATTTTTTTGTCTTTGGACACTCCCTGGAATAATCTACCTTCTACATTAACATGGGGTTAATTTCAGCCTTAAAGAAGAGTAACAAAGGCATACCTCATGTTATCACACTTCACTTTACAGTGCTTGCAGATATTACACTAAAGGTTTATATCATCAAACAAGTCTATCAATGCCATTTTTCTAACATGTGCTCAATTTGTGTCTATGTATGACATTTTGGAATTCTCACAATATTTCAAACTTTTTGTTATTATTATATCTGTTACTGTGACCTATGATCAGTGATCTTTAATGTTCCTACTGTAATTCTTTTGGAGTACCACAAACTATCCCTGTATAAGACCAAAAACTTAATAAATGTTGTGTGTATTCTCACTGCTCCACGAACCAGCTATTCCCACTGACTGTCTATTCTCCTATCTCCTGCCTCTCCTCAGGCCTCTGTATTCTCTGAGACACAACAATATTCAAATTAGGCCAATTAATAACTTTACAATGGCCTATATGTGTTCAAGTGAAAGGAAGGGTTGCACATCTCTCATTTTAAATCAAAAGCTAGAAATGGGTATGCTTAGTGAAAAAGTACTGGAAGTTGATATAGATGATAAGGCAGGCCTCTTGCACCAAACAGACAAGTGGTCAATACAAGGAAAAGTTCTTAAAGAAAATGAAAAGAGCTAATCCCATGAACACATGCTGATACAAAGAAAGTCTGAGTTGTCTGGACTGAAGATCAAAACAGCCATAATATTCCCTTGAGCCAAAGCCTAATCCAGAGGAAAGTCCTAACTTACTTCAATTCTATGAAGGCTGAGAGAGGTGAGCAAATTGCACAAGTAAAGTTGGAAGTTAACAGAGGTTGGTTCACAAGGTTTAAGGAAAGAAGCCATCTCCATTACATAAAAGCGCAAGGTAGCAGAGTATGGTGGCTCATGCCCATAATCCCAGCACTCTGGGAGGCCAAGGCGGGCAGTTTACCTGAGGTCAGGAATTCAAGAGCAGCTTGGCCAACATGGTTAAACCTCATCTCTACTAAAAGTACGAAAAATTAGCCAGGCAGGTGGTGGGTGCCCGTAGTGCCAGCTATTGGGAGGCTGAGGCAGGACAATTGCTTGAGCCTGGGAGGCAGAGGTTGCAGTTAGCCAAGATCATATCACTGCACTCCAGCCTGGGAGACAGAGTGTGAGACTCCATCTCAAAAAATAAATAAATAAATCTAAAAAAGCACAAGGTATAGTAGCAAGTGCTGATGCAGAAGCTACAGCAAATGATCCAGAAGATCTAACTAAAATAATTGAATTTCGCTACACTAAACAACAGATTTCTACTGTGGATGAAACTGCCTTATTTTGGAAGAAGATGTCATTTAGGACTTTCATAGCTAGAAAGAAGTCAATGCCTGGCTTTAAAGAACAAGTTGACGGTTTTTTTCAGGGACTAATGCAGCTGGTGACTTTAAGTGCTCATTTACCATTCCTAAAATGCTAGGAATTTACTGATGTCCTTACTAATTGTGGTAAATCTACTCTGCCTATGCTCTAGCAATGGAACAACGAAGTGTAGATGACAGCACATCTGTTACAGCATGGTTTACTGAGCATTTCAAGTCCACTGTTGGGACCTATTGCTCAGTAAAAAAAATTTCTTTTAAAATGTTACTGCTCATGAATCAAGAAATAATTTTGACTTTCAAGTCTTATTTTAAAACTATATTCCACAAGGTTATAGCTGCCACAAATACTGATTCCCCTCCTGGATCTGGACAAAGTAAATTTTAAAAACCTTCTGTAAATGATTCACCATTCTAAATGCCATCAAGAATATTTGCAAATCATGGGAGGTCAAAACATCAACATTAATAGCAGTTCAGAAGAAGTTGATTCCAACCTTCATGGATACCTCTGAGGAGTTTAAGACTTCAGCAGACAAAGTAACTGTAGATATAACGGAAAGAACAAAGGAACTGGAATCAAGAAGAAAACCTAGGAAATATGCTTCTACACCTCGGCCTTGGGAAAGAATTATGACTAAGTCCTCAAAAGCAACTGCAACAACAACAAAAAATTGACAAGCAGGATCTAATTAAAGAGCTCCTGCACAGCAAAAGAAATTTACAATGGAGTAAACAGACAACTTACAGGATCAAAGAAAATATTCGCAAACTATGCATCCAACAAAGGTCTAATATTCAGAATCTATAAGCAACTTAAGCAATTCATCAAGTAAAAAACAAACATCCTCATTAAAAATGGACAAAGGGCCACCACAGGAGCTCACACCTATATAATCTCAGCACTACGGGAGACCAAGGTGGGAGAATTTCTGGAGCCCAGGAGTTTGACACCAGCCTGGGAAAGACAACGAAACTTCGTCTTTCCAGAACAAAAGAAAAAACGCAAAAACTAGCTGGGCGTGGCGGTGTGCACCTATGGTCCCAGCTACTCAAAAAGCTGAGATAGGAGAATTGCTTGAGCCCCACAGGTTGAGGCTGCAGTGAGCAATGATCATGCCACTACACTCCAGCCTGGGGCAACAGAGTGAGACCCCATCTCAAAAAGTAAAAATAAAAAGTGGGCAAAGGACAAAGACACTTGTCAAAGACGATATACAAGTGGCCAAAAAACATAGGAAAAATGCTCTGTGTTACTAATTATCAGAGAAATGTAAATCAAAACCACAATGAGATACCATCTCATACCAGTCAGAGTGGCTATGAACAAAAAGTCAAAAATAACACATGCTGGCGAGGGAAGAAAGGGGAATGCTTATCTACTGTTGGTGGGAATGTAATCTAGTTCAATCACTGTGGAAAGCAGTTTGGAGATTTCTCAAAGAACTTAAAACAGAGTTACCATTCAACCTAGCAATCCCATTATTGGGTATATACTCAAAGGAAAATAAATCGTTCTACCAAAAACATACACGTACTCATACATTCATTGCAGTGCTATTCACAATAGCAAAGGCATAGACTCAATCAAGGTGCCCATCAACAGTAAAATGGACAGAGAAAATGTGATATATAAACACTGTGAAATACTACACAACCATTAAAGAGTGAAAACATGTATTTTGGAGCAACATCAATGCAGGTGGAGGGCATTATCCTACGTGAATTAACACAGAAACAGAAAACCAAATACCCCAGGTTTTCACTTATAACTGAGAGCTAAATATTGGGTGGATATGGACACAAGGATGGGAATAACAGACACTGGAGAATACAAGAGGGAGGCAAGAAGCAGGGAGAGGGGCAAGGGATGAAAAACTAGCTACTGAGTACCATGCTCACTAACTCAGTGATGGGATTCATCATACCCCAAACCTCAGTATCATGCAATATATTCATGTAACAAATCTGCACATGTACCCCCGAATCTAAAATAAAAGCTGAAACTTTTTTTAAAAGAGAGAACTAAAATTAGAAGTAGAGCCTGAAGTGACTGATTTACTGCAATCTCATAATAAAACTTCGAAAGATGAGGAGTTGCTTCTTATGAATGAACAAAGAAAGTAATTTCTTGAGATGGAATCTTCTCCTAGTGAAGATGCTGTGAGGCATCACATTATAGTGAAATCATTTGTGAAAAGAAGAGCCAATCGATGTGGCAAATTCTATTGTTGTCTTATTTTAAGATATTGCCACAGCCAGCCCGAACTTCCACAACCACCACCTTGATCAGTCAGCAGCCATCAACATCCAGCAGCAAAAGAGTATGATGCACCAAAGGCTCCAACGATCCTTAGCACTTTTAGAAAAGTATTTTTTAATTAAGATACATACATTGTTTGGGTTGGCATAATGCTATTCCACATTTAATAGACTACAGTGTAATGTAAACATAACTTTTATGCTTACTGGGAAGCCAAAATTTTTGTGAGACTCACTTTATTGCAAAAATTTGTGAGACTAGCCGGGTGCGGTGGCTCATGCCTATAATCCCAGCACTTTGGGAGGCGGAGGCGGGTGGATCACGAGGTCAAGAGATTGAGACCATCCTGGTCAACATGGTGAAACCCCGTCTCTACTAAAAATACAAAAATTAGCTGGGCATGGTGGCGCGTGCCTGTAGTCCCAGCTACTCGGGAGGCTGAGGCAGGAGAACTGCTTGAATCCAGGAGGCAGAGGTTGCGGTGAGCCAAGATAGCACCATTGCACTGCAGCCTGGGTAACAAGAGCGAAAGTCAGTCTCAAAAAAAAAAAAAAAATTTGTGAGACTCATTTTATTGCAATATTCACTTTATTGTGGTGGTCTGAAACTGAACCTGCAGTCTCTCTGAGGTATACCTGAAAATGCAACTGCATATGCTTATTTAACTAAAACCCTGGCACATTTCATGAGTTTTATACTCACAAGTTTGAAGACCACTCTGCCAAGAAGTCGAACGGAGTCTGGAGGATACCTGGGTTTGCAGCTTTTAAGGCATTTGCATTCCCGCTTGTGGTCCGGCCAAGCTTTTTTCTATTAAGACAAGAGTTGGGGGAACATAGGTGACCTAAAATTTAACTTTCATTTATACTGGTTTGAGCACTGAGAGTTGTCAACATTACATTTTAATAGTCCAAATGTAGCTGCACAATAGAAAATAAAACCAACATTCTAACTCTGAAAATAATCCAGGATGAGTCTTTGCCAAGTATGCAATTACTACGCAAGGACATTTTTTTTTTTTTGAGACGGAGTTTCGCTCTTGCTACCCAGGCTGGAGTGCAATGGCGCAATCTCGGCTCACCGCAATCTCCGCCTCCTGGGTTCAGGCAATTCTCCTGCCTCAGCCTCCCCAGCAGCTGGGATTACGGGCACGCACCACCGTGCCCAGCTAATTTTTTGTAATTTTAGTAGAGACGGGGTTTCACCATGTTGAGATGGTCTTGATCTGTTGACCTCGTGATCCACCCGCCTCGGCCTCCCAAAGTGCTGGGATTACAGGCTTGAGCCACCGCGCCCGGCCTACGCAAGGACATTTAAAGCTTGAGCTTCACCTCTGTGCTTTCATTTGTCCCCTGGTTATTACCTGGCTGCTGGGGTTCAAAGAAAGAACCATTATAGCTTACTTAATAAGTATAAGATGATTTTTTAACTGATTAAATAGGATTCAACAAGTCATTTTGAATACAAAAAGAAAATCACTCCAAATTAGAAAATAAAACGCATGGTTCAGAAGATTCAAAATAGGGATGACAGCCTTCTGAATTTCTGTGCTGCTACAGAAGTATCAGGAGGGCTAACTCACCCCCAAATATAAAACCTTCTTGTTTTTAAAAGCAACGTAAAAAGACTTATTAGCTAAAACCATTAAATGCCCAGTTTGTCCTGGACGTGTCTGAGTTTATATCTGTGTCCTGGCTTAAATATTAATAGAGCCCCTTTTCACTCTGAAAAGTTCTGGTTTCAATGACAAATTGCATGGTCACCTATGCCACAATCCTAGCCATATGCTGGTGCGGCTGAAGAGACCACTGAGTCAGTTGTCAATCTAAGGATGAATGGACTAAAGGGAAGGACACTATCCCTGAGCCTTGGATCAGAAAGGCTACAGCTCCTTTCTCATGGAATCACTTTTATATGGAAATAAAATCCAGAGCATCTAATATTTAGCCTGGGAAGTAGGAGGAGCCTCAATCAATGTCTCTTGGGTTATATTCTGAAAACTGGAATTTCCATTACTAAAATGCCTGATACCCTATTCAATCTTATTTCAAAAATGATAAATCTGCTTCCCACCTCCTGGGTCTGTAAAATCCTCCTTATAGGGACTGCTCTCATTTCCACGTGCAGCAGAAACATATAGCACAACCAGAAATTTCAAAAGAGCTGCAGCTACTTCAAAACTATGACTTAGATTCAAAGTCAAGCCAACATTTTGCTCAGAAAGACTATCCATGTCAACCTGTTGGGTGACACCTTGGTCTGTCTTCTATTTCTTAGTAACCCACGTGGTGTAGACACTGTTTATAACAGGTATGTCACTTCTTCCATCAACTCTACTCATAGTTGCCTCACTTCCACTGTGGCAACCCTCTCAATGTACTGTTCATAACTTTTGTTTTAGTATTTACACTTCACTCACTTCTAAACAAGACTGAGCTGATTCAAAGTAAAGCTGTGTATGAAATAAGACTGCAAAACCAGAAACAGAAAATACTAAAATTATGGAGGGGGTTAAGAGGAAAGCATAATAGAATTTATTTAGCATTCTACAAAGCACTAGACACACGGCTAAGCAAATAACAAAGCATGTTTCATTTGATTTTTATAATAATCCAAATGGTAGGTATTATCCTTCTATTAAAGATAAAGAAAGTAAGGCTCGAAAGCTGATATCTAACTATCAAACTGCCTAAACATAAAAGGGAGAGTAAAAGTTCTTAGCATGCTAAATATGAGAGCTGAATAATTTGTGCATTACATTCATCTGAGTGTTTGTACATTTATTTGAGTCGCCTTATAAACAAGGCAAAAAAGAAGGAATAATGGTTTATACAATTCTCAATCGACAGAAAGGAAAAACATATAGTTTTATCAAGTATTAAATCACAGGAGGGATTTATTCCAAGAACACTAATCAACATACTGAACAATGTCCTTTACAACAGTTTACAATTATAATGGCCTTTTCATATGACTTCTATATCAGTACTCACCAAAAGGCATAATATTAAAATACAACTCAGTGAAGGAAAATGCTTCTGTTGCTCAGGAGGCTAGTCCTGGACTAGCAATTATCAATTACCAGTGTGTGTAAGGTGCCTAAAATATATATGGTACAATTGTCAAACAAGTTTGAAAAACACAGTATCATCCTATGACCCTAGAGATTCAAAATATACTTAGTATCCTAAAAGTTCTAAAAATCTATGCATTAAAGAAATGTGTATAAATTATTAACACGGTTTCTCATGCTTGTTATTGCCACCCATTGGGAAATTGGGTTGGTATTCACTGACTCAAAAATACATACATACATATATATATATATATATATATATATATATATATATATATAATATACATATATGTATATGTATGTGTGTGTATATATATATTTTTTTTCACCTGGTCTTTGAATACGAGTGGGTTCAACTAAAAAATTTACATTCATTCGCACTCGCAAGAAACAAGAGCACTGAGTTTTTCGGTTCTGTACTGGTATAAGGGAGATCCATACTTTGGCGGAAGTTTTCATTTAATTTTCAAAGTTGAGAAACCTGGCAGATGCTCTCAATGGACAGACGTGCAGGCAGAAACAGATAACACAGTGCCAGTTGGTCTATCAGAAAGCACCTTGGACTCTGTTCAAATGTCTTAGTGTCCAGCTGAACAGGGCTCAAACTCAGCAAAACAAGGCACGGATCATTTGAGGCAAAAGGCCCTAAGAGTAGATTTGAATCATTGCTCATTTTAACTACAAGAGGTCATCCATAACTGCTCTGTTAAAACCTAAAGACTTCAGAAGCTCAGCCTCCTGATAGCTTACCAGGGTGAGTTAACTACAAATGTACACCAGATAATAAACAACTGATTAGTTAGGTGACAGTATTTGGAATTAAACATCCAAATTTTGGAGAATTCCTGTTAAAACAATTCTAGGTCCTTAACATAATTGACATTGAGCCCTTACTTCTCAACAATAACTAGAAATTAGACAAAATGTTTCTTAAACTTATTCTTAGATCACTGCCTGAAAACATACTTATCTTTTCATTTGCTCTAGCAATAAAAATGTTCATTATTTCCATCTAAAAACCAAATCAGCTCATTTAGGTATAAAGAAAGAAAGCAATCATACCACTTAAAATTGGTCTGTAATATAATACCAAGTATCAGCCCAGGCCATTTCTTTTCTAAAACGTTAATTGCTACAATTTATCATTCAGCTTCACCTATCACATCTTACCCTAAGGGTTACAAATATAAGCATACCACAGAAAAGGCTTACAAAGAAATCTTTTAGGCAGCTCCATTTGACTTTGAAGCAAAACGTGGCGATCATACAAAAACAAAAGGCATTATCTTCACTCAACAAACTAACCTTGGTCAAGACCTCAATGACACATTTGTCATATACATTTGCCATCTTCTCAAAAGACAACCTTCTTGATTTACATTTTTTCCTATTTTCTTACATTACTTCCAACACAGGATATAATTAAGATTTTGCTCATAATATTGGCTGTAGTACTTTCTGTTGTCATAGCTGAAAATTAACAATGATGTAAATAAGCATAAAATGGCTTGAGAGACAAAGGAAATTCAAATATAACATTAAGAAGCAAAAACAAAAGGAGACAAGAGTTTTATGCTGGAAAAAAAAGGAAATGACATCTATAACACAATTCTTTCAGTGCACAAATAACTCAAAAAACAACTTCAGAATCCACACATTTCCATAATGTATTTTATAGTATTTATAACAGTTCGCAACATAAACTAATTAACCACACCAGTAGTTCTCAATGGGAGTAACCCCTACCTTGAGGGTTGTTTGAGAAATGTACAGGGGTATTTGTATTTGTCACAATGTTTATGGAATATTACAAGCGCTTAATGAGCAGGAACCAGAGGAGTCAGGCATTCTATGTATGACAGTTCTAGAAAATGACACATTATCCAAATCCAGTGCAACTTTTAAGTGTCCTACCAAATTCTATGAAGGCGAAAACTTGTTAGTAATTATCTGAGCGTAGAGAAATCTTCTTTTACATTTAAAAACAAAGAACTTGTTTTTACATAATCCTAACAGCACTGAATATTGTAGGTAAATCAAGGGAAGACTGTATTTTAAGAACTTTATCTAAATTAGTCAATTAAAGTCATATCACTGAAGGCAACACCACTCAGAGCATCTTCTGACCTGCATCTGTACTTCCCTTCTCACAGTGACCCTACGTATAGGTGCAAATATGTGACTAATGATGTCTTCTAGTCTAATCATACCTCAGCATTTATGTACTAAAATACATATATTTTATCATAGGTTTTAATCTTCTTTTTCCCTATATTCCAATAATGGCATTATATTAATATTTTAAAAATATGTAAGTAGGTATATTGCATTACCTGTATAATTTCATTTCAAAATAGTAGAAAGGGCAATAAACATATTTCTCATAAAAATGGGGAGTTGGGTCTGAAAAGAGTTGAAAAGCCCAGATCTAGAACAACGCAACACAGTTATACATGTCACTAACATACAAAAGAATGTATTTTTAAACACATAGCCTAAGACCCACTCTAAAAATTCTAACATTACCTGTGATATAGAATCAAGTGTCTCACTGCAGGGATACTATGGTTTAAATGTGTATCTCAAAGTTCATGTGCTGGAAACTTAATCCCCAACGCAACATGTTGAGAGGCAGGGTCTTTCAGTAGCACAGTGCTCCTGACGGATTAACGTTAATACTGCAACAGCGGGTTTGCTACAAAAGCTAGTCCGGCCCTGTCTTAGGAGCGCTCTC